TATTTTGCATGCCTTTGGCATTTACATGGAATCCCATTTCTTTTAACATGATTAGACTTTGGTTTCAAAATGATAAATCATTGGAATAACATGATTTTATTGTGATAAACCTTATTTTTATATATTTTTTATAGAAATTTTTCAAATGTCTCTCTATATAATTTCAAATAAACAATAAATTTATGATACCAAATTCAAAATATTTATCGAACAAGTTAAAAAATGGGAAGAAGTTTGATTAGAAAACTAGATGGTTTGATAATTGCAATAGAAAATTTTGAGGCATTGAAGGAGACTAAAGAGGTATCTTATTTCAATTGAACTTTTACTGAGAGGATTATGTTGTGTGAAGTTTTTTATTATGATTGTGTTGTGTAATTTTTCATTGATTTTTATTTTTATAGGAGAGTAGATGGCTTCTACCACCCAAATTGGGGATAGAGGGAAGTAGAAATAGATATGGGCATGATAGTGTAGAAATTGAAGAAATGGATGTCTCCAAACACTTATAAGTGGAGTTTTATAAGTAGAGTTCAAAAAGAAAGTAGAAATGGATATGTGCAAAGAAAGAATGGATGGGCACAAGAGAGAGGGAGAATAGCGAGAGATACATCAGTTTTTTTGGTAGGAGACGCGTGTAGTTAGATTACCTGTTACGCGCATAATGGATTTCACATATATTCTAAGCATAATAAATTTCATGTATTTTTGGGAAATCTTCTGTAAATTATTTTCATTTTCTTACTATTGAAGTGTTGGTAAATCTCATATTTCCCTGTAACATGTTTCCCTGCAATACATTTTCAGGTACCCAAACGGCATTTCATGTATTTTTTAGAAATCTTCTATAATTTATTTCCATTTTTTTACGGTTGAAGTGTACCTGATAAATCTCATATTTCTTTGTAATATGTTTTCCTGCAATACATTTTCAGGTACCCAAACCGCCCCTTATATTTTAAATTGCATGGTTGTAAATATGTCATTCAGTAAGCTCAAGGTTCAAAAATAAATTTTTTAACTTCGTAACATACCTCAAACCATCCAATTTGACATCTAATGACTAGGAATGATTGTGATATCTTTGTGAGAATAGTAAATATAATACAATCTCATATATAAATTTTTATGTTGATTCCACATTTTATATAATCTTTACAAGTTTTAAAAAAATTTAAATAGCCCAAATTTTACCCAGGTAACTCGGTTGAGTCATTAAGCACTGATTCCAACATAGGAGATCAAGGGATATGGTTTCCCGATAAACACGTCTTCTCTCTCATGCTTGTTCAATTGATCCGAGTCCAGTCGTGCTACTTTTTCATACAATCTCAGCCAAGTAAATATAGAGAGGGCATTCCCTGAATCATTTCTCTTTCCATAATCTACCCCTACCCACAACTTTATGAGAAGAAGGCATAGAGAGGAGGCCACATGGGTTATCTCCTTCCACTTACCGGAGCTCATCAGAAGTCGTTTCTACGGAGGTTAATTGAGGCTCCGGAGCTCATCAGATGTCCTTTCTAGGGGTGGCAACTGGTCGGATCGGGTCCGGCCCGGCCTGGTCGAACCCGAAATTTTAATATGGGATCCGACCCAAAAATTAAAATATCCATGTATTTAAGTATGAAAAAAGTGAAAAAAGTTTATAGAAGAATGAGGCTTTAAACAATAAAATTAAGACACACATAAAAAATTCACTGGGAGGAGTTGCTTCGATGCTTAAAAACTCTCAATTCGATCATCCCGACCTCAAGATTTATGGACATGAGAAAAATAGATTTCAAGTCTTAGAAACAATGTATCTTATATTGTATTGTCTAGACCGTCAATTTTCAAGTGTTTATAGATTTGTTCAATCTACCTTATTTTTAAATCTTTAAATTTTATTAGTAGAGATGGAAATCAAGTTTCCGATAAATCTGCTGCTAAAACAACATATTTTGATAATATTTGAAGGTGTGTCTTACTTTGATTGTTTAGGGCCTCGGCCTTATATAAACCACACCTTTTAAGTATATTTACAAATATTTCATATATTAGGACCCAAAAATATTACTGAACCAGAACCCAAATAGTGTTTGGTTATGAGGATTTGGACATGGACCAGATCAGCCAGGTCCTTTTTTAGACCCTGACCAACCGGATCCTTTTTTGGACCCATAGCCAGACCTGGATCAGGTCTACCCCTCCGGTTCCGAGTCATGTCTGGGTCCATTGCCACCCCTAGTTCTTTTACAAGGCAACCTCCCAAATCCCATCCGCATTTGTAAAAACAGGTGGTCAGCTTCTGTCGCACACCTCCACGACACCATTTATTTAACAGTGCCTCCTTTATCATCGTAAGTCTTCTAATTTCTACACCCCCTTCTTTCCAAGGGCTGCAAACCTTTTTGCTGATTGACTAGCTTGAATCTTCTCTTTTCTCTGCAGCCCAGCAATAAATATTGCTTCTTGAGTCTCTTGACCACCACTCCAGGCCGTATAAATAGAGGCACGAAGGATAGTGTTTATTTGATCACAGAATTTCTGCAACCCAACTTAGACTTCAACAAATCCAATTCTTTTGAAATCATTCTACGACACCATCCCAGGCTGAGGATGGCAATCAGCTCCTTGATAAGGGAACACTAAGACACTTGAAAGGAAACTTATCCACTCTACAACCATGATTATGGACAGCCTGTGGATCTCATCGTGATTGTAGGGGACCCCATGATTTTTCTCAAGATAATATTGACTTTAAAGCTAGAAACAACCTCGATACTCCAAAATAACAGCCATATGTTCCTCATTTCAGCCTAGGTTTCATCACAAAAAATTCAAAATATCATTTGCATATTGTAGATAAGAGATGGTGATACCATTTGCAGCAACATAGATACCTTTTTGTTTTTTTTGTTTTTTCTGAGAATGTTCACTTAATGGAAACCCATTTTGATACGTTGAATGAATCATTTAGCTACAACCTCCACCCAAAAGAAATGGGGGTAGAGGGTCTCCCTGTCAAATGCCTCAAGGGCTTTGAAGAAACCATATTGTGGCTTGTTCGATACACGGACATATGTTTTTTATGCACATTCACGCACTAGGATGCATATTCATTGTGAGCTAAATTGTCGACAGGCTACATCCGCTAACAACTTTGAATGCTGGGGATATCAGGGGATGAGACACTGTGCACATTGCCCCAATGAGAGATTTAGATAAGATTCAATAGTTGGGGATCGACAAGATCCATATGACATCCCACCAAATCATGCAGCTTATATAGTAGTCATATTTGAGCATTAGGAATGTTCAGGTTGGTCACTTAACTAACACCATGGTTTATATCTGACAGATTGTAATATTGTTTATCACCAATGTCGTGGCCTGTGACTCCTATCAGATGCGCTTAGCAAGAACCATTATCATGGATGTGTATAGGATGATTTTTATCGCCTAAATAATACAATGCGAGAATAGTTGGTCGCCCATTGAACTTGAGTGCCCTTAGAGACCCAACCCATGACCATATTAGGAAGTGAAAGCCTCATGATGCTACTTTCGTGTCATTATCATGGCCATGACCAGGTTAGAAACAAAGCAAGATAAACGGTTAATTCTACACAGAATAATCGTAGGGCCAAGGCCAACTTATTAGCAACACAATACATTGATTTTCTGTTCAATTCTGGGGAATTCATGAAAAGCATGTGCAAGAACTCTTTCACATTTCACCCACTTCATTTGATTTAATTTTAGAAGTCCCATCAAAAGATATTTAACCATGATTAAGCATAGTTACTATTTCATGTGTTACGATAAATGTATAAAACATACAGTTGATGTCTTAAATGTTTATGATGAAGGAAAATTATTCCCTATGTCAAGGGATGCACATCCACATATGCATCCCTTACGCATTAAACATCCCTCCCATATATGAATGTTTGGCAATGGTAGTCCAGCCATAGAGGGTCTTAAAAATACATCAAAAAGTACCATTTTTTAAAAATTGTTTCCCATTTTCTATTCATGTCTACCATGGTATAGATTCTCAACCCCTAATTTTTTAATCCAAAAAAAGATGGATTTTGGAGTGAAGACTCATATGAGATGAGGTCCTCATAAGAGTCTTGTCATTCGAAGAATTCCACTCAATTCCATTGGAAGCTCAATCGCTCACACATAGAGAGAGAAGTTTATTCATTAGCCATGGTCAATTGTGTGTCTATTGGTGGCTCACTCTCCGGGATAGAAATGGAAGTCGATTTGTTGAGTACAAGCATTAACTACAACTTCAGGCCTTTTAATAGATCACATATTATAGAATTATATTATTTACATGATACACAGTGCCCATTGTTCATTTTCATGATCATTATAAGAGCCATCACTGATGACATCTTCAGCGATGTCTTTAGCCATCACAAGACATCCATGTATCTAGTTTCCTACAATTCTCGTACAAAGAATTCCAGCCATATTGCTTAAATGGCACATCAATTCTGAGCAAAGGATCACTACCATCATGGAGGACTGATGATGCAAAAGGTCATTTCGAGTATTTTAATAACTCGGCATCACAGACCAAAGAAGACATGCAAGCTCCAGTGCCATGTCGTCGTAAAATTCTAGATGGGTTTGATAATTGAAGCAGCCCAATGAAACACAATCTTGTTTAGAGGACATTCGAACGAATAACATTTAGAGAGAGTGAAAAAGATTGTTTGAATGTTTAAAATCTATGCGCCTTTTGCACTTACTGGCATTTAGTTTTAACAAAGAACGTTATGACATGCCAATTTTGTCTGGAAAAATTCGAGCACATATGCCGTGTCTGGGTGTAGCATATACACTTACTCCTACGGCTTCATAAAACTAGAAAGATCCACAAAATGAGTAAAATGGTCTATTCATTAACAACATTGAGAAAAAATGCTTGATTACCTTAGAAAGAAACATCTCACACTTTATCCTTTTCAGTACTGACAATGAAAACTTCAGCAACAATCTCTTACAAAATTAAAGGGTGTTACATAGGGCCGTAAAGAAACGAAAACATCCATAAAGGTGTACTGCACCTTATAGTCACTCAAATCTATTTATAATATCTCTCTAGAAGCTTAGTGTTCCAATCCAGCCTAAACCTAGGTTAAAGCAACTCTAATCAGTTTGTTATTAGGTATAAACCATGTTAAAGCAATCACAATAAAATCTTAACCAAGGTATCAATTTCGAAAAGGAAAAGCATAGTGGACATTAAGCTTACAATAAAACACAGATAGGGTGTCCATAGTTTTAGCTAGTTTGGACGTATCAGTCTGGTAGGGTACAGAAAAACCATGAGTTCTCAAACTACAAAGCTCCTTTTTTGGGTAGTTATCTCACTTCAAACCTCGCTACAAAGAATCATCAGCTGTACAAAAAACTAGAGTCCATCTCGCCTCTCCGTTTCAACAATAGACGGTCATGCCTCGTCTTTTATAAGTGGAGCCACATTCAATATATTGTCAATGTGAAATTAGTGTTCTCTAACATGGAAAGTATAGCATAAATAAAACCACCAGAGACTACGAATAACTACAGTTCATCTCCATAATACATCATGAGAACGGATGGTAGATGCCTAATATAGAATGAAATTTGACGGCATTAAAATGGTAGATTGATTTCCTTTACTTTTAAAACAGAATATTAGCATAAAATAAATATACAGTTCTAAAATCACGGACAAGTTATGATCTAGAGGTTATTCCAAAATTTAGTATATTCAATTTACATAAAACATCAGCAGGATTACTTTTACATTAGAGCCTGAAGAGAAAGGATATGCAAGGCCACATGATTCATATAATCCCAGAAAACTAAACTAGCCAATAATCATGAAACAGTAACCTTTAATAGGAACCTTTAAAGTTTTCTATAATAATCAACCATTTATCTTTGAACTATTAGTCCTATTTCATCGCGTGAATCTTTATCTATTAGTCTTATTTCATCATGTGAATCTTTACCCTCTCTTACTGCCCCTAACCTCCCCCCCCCCCCCCACCCATTAAACCTCACGTCCAGGTCTCTGAGAAGACAGTTTCTTCTTGCTCCCTCTCCCCTGTGAGAGGTAGGCTCCACCCCCTCCCCTCCTCTCCCTATGAAGGAACCTCTATCAATTTAAAACCTCCTCCCTTACTCCCTGAACCTGTAAAATGCCAACCCCAACAGTCACCCGTATCAACATTATTCCTGATCAAGGTCATCGACAAACCCCGCAACCCAACCCAACCCAACCCTACCTAATCTATGCCAGAACTATGTCAACCTGATATGACCACCATTGAATGAACCCCCACCAACTAAAGTAAGAACCCAAGTACACAAAACCGACACCCCTTTAACCACACTTGTTCCACAAAGACAAAAACGTAACCAACCTCACGATCCTCGAGTAGGAGAGAAACTTATCACAGAACAATTACCTATCAGAGCTAATGAGAAATGGGGAAGGAGTTATGGAATGAATCCAAATTGGGCTGCTGTAAAATGCTCGGGGGAGCTTATCCTTTTCTCCTTCCTAGCCACTGCAAAAGCACATTCTACAAAGGGGCATCCAACCCACCCCCCATCCCCCGCAACTTTTCCAAAGGATCATCTATCCCCTTTGAACAATATGTCGTGTTTCTCATGCTTATTTCGCAGACGAAATGAGGAATTGCATCTTCTAACAAGAAAAGAGTCTTGAGATGTGGACCTCGAGCTCCTAAAGCATTGTATGCTTCGATGCTTTGCCGAAAATCTCTCATTAAGAAAGATTAAATTTATTCTCTCCACAAAAAAACATCGGGTCTATCGAAAGTGAAAAACCAAACCAATATGCTATATGTGTTTTTCATGCATTTTTTTATAATGAATGAAAGATATGCATCTTCTCAACCAAAAAACGAGTGTTTGTGATGTGGACCTCAGTCTCCTAGAGAGCCATGTGCTTCGACGCTTTATTAAAAAACCCTTTCAACATCGAGGTCTACTAGAAGTGAAACAATTTCTAATTTGTGATTAGGTGATCAAGTGGTTAAGTACTTACTATTGACACCCCGCAAAGGTCAAGTTCAAAGTTGAAGATTTTGGTTGACACTTACATGCAAAATACATTACTACCATACTTTGCTAATAATTCAATAAATCAAAAAAATTGCATTTAAATCTTGATCTATGATATTAGAACTTCAACTCCATGTTGATGAAACATCGTCCGGTGCATCTATGAACCCCGGGTTTTGATGTTGTGGATTTGGCTTCCAAAACACATTGATTCGCCCTTCCTAATAATTTGGATCAGGGTCTCATCTACGTTGAATCCCGGTCTTGTGCACCTACGAATCACAAATTTTGTAAGATGGAATCTAAATTTCCCAACTTCTAATAATCAAGATTCAAAAAATGTGGAACAAGATTCGAAAAATTTGAAATCGCGAATCCGATCTTTCGAGAATCGTGATTCATTCTGGGAAACGCGGAATTTTGATTCCAAACTGGAATCGTTACCTCGGTAGACGATTTGGGTAATTACATTTCAAACGAAAAACACAATTAGATATTTTTAGAGAGAGCAGTCTAGCAGAAATCTCACGAACTAATATTGTTGACTCAAGGCCAAGACTATGATGGAGCTTCCAAAATAAAGAGATGATCGTATTTTCCAAAGAGATTGAGTGGATTGAACCAGGAACTTCAAGGCAATGTCAAGGCATTCAGGAGAGGGAAAGTAGCCGTTTCATCCCTTGCATCCACACGAAGGTATACAGAGCCCATATCGATTCCAGGACCTGATTTCAGTAATTTTTTCTTTCTTTTTTAGTTTCTCGAGTCTTTATACTCATGGATCAAAGGTGTTTCTTTCTTTGTATAAAGATTGAAAGTAATTGACACAAGTTGCTCAGTGGTTGGAACTCTAGACTTACCCAAAAAAAAGTGCTTGGAACTCTTCCCGAACCTATAGCTTTTATTAAAGTTCCTCATCTTTATATGATCTTCAGTAAGTTTGTTCCTGATTATAAGCTTTTCTCTGGTTTGTTTGATCAGACTCATATTTTCTTCCAAAATCTTCTTCAGTGCATATTTAGGTGAAACGCTCCCCCAGCCAGGCGCAACTGCACCAGCCTAAAGTCCCATCTGGCCCACACCACCCCAGCAGCTCTCAATCTGCAACCGTACATGCCCTCCTAACCTCTCTCATCGCCATAAAACAGCCAACATCCAGCACCCCAATAGCTGCCTCGACAGTTGGCCCCCTGCCCGAGACCACCACCATCCCCAAAACTGCTCCTCATTTGGTGTTTCACACCCAATGCCCATGGAAACCATCAAAGAAATATTCCCAAACCCCCCCCCCCAACCCCAAAAAGAAAAACAAAGGGACGACTCTCTCTCTCTCTCTCTCTCTCTCCTATTTCCCTTCCTCAAAGCTCCTCCACCCTGCCAATATGCCCCACCATCAATAACCTTCCCACCACTGTTACCCACCACCACTCTTTCTTCCTCTGTGCAGTAGAAGCCCCTTCAACCCTACCACAACCCCAACCCTCCCTCCCTCCATTCTGCTGGTCACAAGCCTGCATCACCTTCTCCTACCCACCATTAGTTGTAGTGGCTGCCCCTATAGTTGTTGAAAACGTTTATGATTCCGAATCGTTTATATAATCAAAATCGCGTGTATTAAGAGTTTCAGAATATAGGAATCGTTGTCCGTACCATTTGGATTTGAGAAAAATGATTCTCACTATTTCGGAATCGCAATTCAAAAAATTAGGAATCGTGTTTTCTATTTGCAAGAATCGATGTCCCTTCATATTGGAATCGCATTTCATACCTATATGGAATCACACATGACCGCACTTGTTTCGGTGGTTGCTAGAATCGTGATTCCTAGAAATATGGAATCGTGATTCCTAAAAATAAGGAATCATGATTTCTAAAATTCTAGAATCGTTATCTCCATCAACTTGGAATCAACATTTTCACCATTCCGGAAGAGTGATTCTCCCCATATTGGAATTGAGATTCTCCCCTTACTAGAATTGCGAACCAATTCCATACGGTATATGAGAGAAGTATTCAAAAAATATATAAATTTACCCATTACTACAAGATCAAATTTTGGTCAGTATATACTCAGTCCAAGACTCCAAACACTAATGTCAACCTATATGATATCTTTGTAGACAATCCCATACAATAGACTCGGTCTACCGATAACCCTATTATGCCTACAAGGTCTGGAGCTAGTCTATGGCATACAAGGAGTCAGAACAAGGGCAAGCTCCCTTTATCTGCTTTCTTTGAATTATAAAATAAGTACATGACATAGTTATTCTTCTTTGTTAAATGTAGTTTTGAGTCTTTTGACTTTTGAAAATTGAGTTATTCAATTTTTAGTCAATTTCTCTAATATTTAATGATTAATTTAACCTAAAACACCACACAGAGCACTTTGCTCATATCTTTATTATCTTCTTATTTTACTTAAAGAAAAGCATTTTTATCCTCTTATTCAACTTGAAGAAATGACGGTGCCGATCATATAATAAACATTGTTACATTAGTAGTTTAGTATCCACACCATTTACAAAACATTATTAAATTTGAAGTAACATATTTTTTTAATATTATTTATTCTTGGTAAGAGTTCTTAAAAAGTAACATGGAATGAAGGATGGAAATTAGTAAATAAGATAATAAAAAATTTAACATATTACTTATATTTTAAATTTTGATTTTATTACCGTATGCAACAACTTCAAATTCTCACGCTCTCATACATGTCACGCTCACTGATGATTGAGCACACATCGAAGGGTTTCTACTCTCGCTATGCTCTCCCTATGCTTACATATTACTCATATCTTAAATTTTGATTTTATTGCCATGTGCAACAACTTCAAATTCTCTCACGCTCTCATACATGTCGTGCTCACTCATGATTGAGCACACATTGAAGGGTTTCTACCCTCCCTATGCTCACATTGACTCCTAACAACATGTAGCATAAGTAGAATTATCGACGTGTAGCATAAGTAGAATCACATTGTTGTGTAGTAAGGAATCACAAAGTCTGCGATATAGAAACTTGATTCCAAACAACATGGACGCAATTCCAAAAAATTTGGAATCAACGTTTCTCACAAGCAGAATCGCATTCTTGTGTAGCTAAGAATCACAACGTCCTTCATATGGAATCTTGATTCTGGCAATCAGGGAATCAAGATTCCTAAACTAGGTGGAATCGCGTTCCGCAAAAAATGGAAACGTGATTCCTTTCTTTTAGAATCGACTTTCGCCTGGGGAAACGCCGAATCGAGATTCCGAAACAGAATCGCTACCCTCATAGGCGATTCGGGTAACCATAGCTGCCCCCCTGTGGAGATTCTTAGATGGTGTTTTCCCCCCCTCAAATTGACCGCTTCCCCTCCTCCCTAGATATGGAA